TCTCTAACCCTACTGCCGGCGCAATTCCGCATGATCCCCATCGGTCTGCTAATGTCAAACCTCTCGTCGTTATCGTTCGAGTGCTCTGCCTGTCTTCTTCGCCCTCCAATGATCATCTCATCGAACAGAACTCGTCCGCACAGCTGCGCCTAGCTCGAAGTACGAAAACGCGATGTGAAAGGTAAGAAGGATTAATGGCTCGTGCTAAGCCAACTACTAACCACGTGACATAATAGCGATATTGATTACAGAGAAATCTGATAAACTCGTGGCACGCTAATTATCCGCCATATGCCAGCTAATCGATCGAGATATTCAATTTGTTATTCACTGCCTCTGATGGCATTCTATTTCCCGACGGCGTGCGACTGTTGTCGATTGCTGAGTCCCACATTCCTACGATTTCTATGTTTAGGTAAAACGAAAGACGGAAAGTAATAGCGACAAATTAAAACGGGAGAGTTTTGTTGTTCTACCCGGTAGGTTTTCTCCTGTTGTTACTCTGATAAATGCTTCCCCCTATTAAAAATCCTCCTCCATATCTTCATTCAGATGCTTTTAGGAGGTTAAAAGACCAGCGCGTTCCGATGGAAATGCATCTCGACTTTTGAACATCCGTCATTAACCTTTGACAGTACACACACGCACGGTGAATACACTTCCACGTGGGCTTACATCAATCCCTATATAATGAGCGACGCTTGGTCTTCCCGTGGGAATAAGCGTTCAGCTAGGGATTCAATCGCGGCACGGGCAATCTGTAATCTGGAACAGTTGGCTATTATTACGTGCAGAAAACCCGCGCGTGCTCTCAGTCAGGACACAAACACGCGCAAACACACAAACATGAGCGCGCGCACACACACACACGCACGCACGCACGCACACACACATACTTACCCACACATGTGTGTGTGTGTGTGTGTGTGTGCACACACAAACGCCCGCACACACCGCAAATCAGCATACTTACCCCCCCAACACACACACACACACACACAACACACACACACACAACAAACACACCACCACACAACACCACAGACCACACAACACATCACACGACACACGAGAGCGCGCGCGGCACGACAGAGTTCACACACACACACCACACACACACACACCGACACACACCACACGCGGGCACACCTACTTAAGCCCAACTCACACACACGAGCGCGCGCCTACACAACACACCACACACACACACACACACCAACACACGAGCGCCGCGCAACGGAACACACGCACGCCACAACGCACACACGGCTACTTACTCCCACGACACACACAGGCACACACAGGCACACACACACACACCACACACCACACACACGTCACACGCACAGGCACCACACACACCACACACACACACTAATAACTTTTACCCACACACACACACGAGCGCGCGCACACACACACACACCTACTTACCCAACCACACACAACACACAACCACAGCACACACACACACACACATAAGTGCACCACACACACACACACAACAAAATCACACACAACCACACACAAAACCAGCAACACACCATGTCACACACAGCAACACACACACACACACACACACACACACCCACATACAACACACACACACACACACAACACACACACACAACACACACACACACACCCGACACACGACCACGCGCGCGCGCGCGCACACCGAGAGTGATACGGCTTTCTGCTTTGCGTTTAAGCTTACATGCGTTTGTTCCGCGTTGGCCATGTTACACGTAGAAGAGAGCGCTGCCGCACGAGTAAGTCAGAAGGGGGGGGATCTCAAAACATGGCCAGAAGTACACATACATAGGATATTCTTTACTCCGCTGCGCCGTGATGTTTCACTGCGTATCATATATATATATTATATCGAGTTAGTACGAGTTTCTTCTCGATGTGACGTGAGGTTTGAAGATCGCAGAATGCCGAATAGTTTGTTCAGGCCGCCATCTCAACACTTCTACGCCGCTTTTCTCTCTTCTCTCTCTCTCTCTCTCCTCTCTCTCTCTCTCTTTCTCTCTCTCCTCCTCATCTCTCATTCTCTCTCTCTCTCTTTCTCTCCTTTCTATCTCTCTCTCTGCGCTTTCTCTCTCTCCTCTCCTTCTCTCCGCCGGCCCTCTCTCTCTCTCTTCCCGCTCTCTCTCCTCTCTCCTCTCGTCTCTCTCGTCTCCTCTCGCTCTCTCTCTCTCCCCTCTCTCCGTCTCAATCTCATCCCTCCCTCGCACCAGGAACGAATAATCTCTGCTCTCGTCTTCTCCGTCTCTCTGCCCGGAGAAATCGGGAGTAGAGGGCGTATACGCGACTCGCCCTCTCCTCTCTCATTCGGTCATGCTCGGAGATCTCAGTTCCGTCTCTTCTCGCTCCTTCTCTTCTTTCCCTCTCCTCCCTCCAATGCTCTCTCTCCTCGACACAATATCTCTCACTCTCATTCTCTCATCTCTCCTCTCTCGCGCGCGCGCGCGAGCCGCAATCGGCGTTGCAGGCCATATGCCCTCCGAAACACACACCTCCCCGCAGGTTTGAGAAGCAATTCGTATTACTTTGCGCGCGTGAAATCCACGCGATGTGACTTTCGCTGCGGCGTCATTGAATCCGTCTATCAAACGTCGCGTTCTTGTGTTACTCGCTGAGAGGAAGCAAACGAGGAGGAGAAGGAGGAGGAAGAGGAGGAGGGGGAGGAGGGGAGGAAGGAGGAGGGAAAGAGGAGGGGACGAGGAGAGGAGGGGAGCTAGGGGAGGAAAGGAGGGAGGAGGAGAGAGGAGGGGAGGAGAAGAAGAGGAAGAGGAGAGGGGGAGAGAGGAGAGAAGAGGAGGAAGAGGAAGAGGGGAGATGGGGAAGGAGGAGGAGGAGGAGGAGGGGAGGAGGGGGTGAGAGGGAGGAGGATGGGGAGGAGGAGGAGGGAACGATTGAGATGGGGAGGCAGGAGGGAGGGTGGGAGAGAGCGGAGGAAGTGGAGAAGAGGCAGGAGGGGGATGAGCGGAGGAGGAGAGGGAGGAAAGAGGAGAGAGGAGAGGGAGGAAGAGGAGAGAGGAGAAGGAGAAGAGGAGAAAGAGAGGAGGAGGTAGAGGAGGAGAGGAGAGGAGAGGAGGAGGAGGAGGAGGAGGAGGAGGAGGAGAGGAGGAGACCTCGAGGGAATAGAGCAGCGAGTCGATGTGTATACGCAAGAACGCGTGATATAACAGCATCAATCGATTCAGAATAAAACAGCATTCTCTTCTTCACGTGGGGTATCTATGACGTTATGTATATCGGTGGTGATGTCACAAGTTACGGTGTTATGTTGGTAGAATATAAAACGTAATGTATAGCGGTGGTGATGTAACCAAGTTACCGTGGTGAATTGACACGTCGCATGAGACGTACTATATACAATGCCGCACACGAGGTATCAACACGCGGATTACTGGTAATACACGAGAAATTCGACGTTTGACTGACTACACTACGCGACAGTGCCTATACCAAGTCTATACTAAACCTATATATACACGTGCGCACCATTAGGAGCACGCAGCAACGCCCCGTACACGCACACACACGCGCAGCGCCACATACACACGTGCGCGGCGGCGGCACACCCACACAGACACAACACACAACACACCACACACACCTCGTCCCATCCCCACCCACACACACACACACTCACCCAACCTCCCCCTACGCACACAGAAATATAAACACAACTATTACTCTTGTGCAGCTGGTACTCGGACTCGGTCTCGACGTTCGATCGCAGCTCGTGGAGGCCGAAGTCTGTAATCTGCAGCACCCAGCGACTGTTGACTACGCAGTTCGATGACTTCAAGTTGCCGTGGTACTTGATGTCCGAGTCATGAAGGAACATCATGCCCTGCAATGTATGATAGGAGAGAAAGAGAGGAATATCATGCCCTGCAATGTATGACGAGAGAGAGAGAGAGGAATATCATGCCCTGCAATGTATGACGAGAGAGAGAG